TCATGAAGATCTCCATTTAAGAAAGCATTATTCACATCCAATTGGTGAATTGGCCACTGCCGAGAGAGAGCTATTGTGAGGATAATTCTGACAGTAGCAGGTTTAACCACAGGGCTGAAGGTTTCTGCATAGTCTAGACCTTCTCTTTGATGAAAACCTTTAGCTACTAGGCGAGCTTTATGCTTGGAGATAGAACCATCTGGATTGTATTTGGTCCTGAACACCCATTTACATCCAATAGGGGTGCAGTCTGATGGCAGAGGTACAAGCTTCCAGGTATTATTTCTTTGAAGTGCTTCATATTCATCTTTCATGGCCTGCAGCCATTGAGGTTGAGTCATAGCCTTTGCAACTGAGGTAGGTTCAATAGAAGCAGTGAAGGCCTTGGGTTTAAAGACACCAGTCTTGGCTCTAGTGAGCATATGATGATTATTGTTGGGTTGAGAGGTAGGTGCTGTAGCAGGTAAAAGAGACTCTGATGTCTCACCAGTAGATAACCTGCAAGAACTGTTAGAAATAGGCAAAACAGAATCTGTAGTGACCTCAGCACATATAGTGGGTATGGATGTGAGTTGAGAGGAAGGTGAGATAGTTATTTTAGGAATTATAGGTACATGTGATGGTTCAGAAGAAGAAGACACAGTATTTTTGGTGAATGTTTGGGTAAAGGGAAACAGAAATTCATCAAAAACAACATTTCTTGCAACAAATATTTTACCTTCAGGTGAGAGGCATTTGTAACCCTTATGGTTGGGACTGTAGCCAAGGAATGTGCATTGGATTGAGCGAAAATCAAGTTTGTGTTTATTGTAGGGCCTTAGGTGAGGGTAACAAGCACAACCAAAGGTTCTCAGAAGTGTGTAATCAGGTTCCTTTTGAAGCAGTATGGCATAAGGAGAGGTATTGTGCAATGTAGGTGTAGGAAGCCTATTGATGATATAGGTTGCTGTGAGAAATGCATCTTCCCAATATTGTTGAGGGAGAGAGGAAGCAGCAAGGAGAGATAGGCCAGTTTCAACTATGTGCCTATGTTTTCTCTCAGGGGTACCATTTTGTTGATGAGTGTATGGGCAAGTGAGTCTATGAACTATGCCATTTTGTTGGAGGTAGTTATCAAAGGCTAGATATTCTTTTGCATTATCGGTTTGGATAGATTTGACTTTAGTGTTGAATTGCAATTCAGCCATAGTTTTGAATGCAACAAAAACAGGAAAAGCTTGACTCTTTGTAGATATAGGATATAACCAAGTAAATTTGCTGAAAGCATCAACAAAGACAATGTAATATCTAGAGCCAGTGGTGCTAGTAATGGGAGCAGGACCCCATATATCAGAAAATATTAATTCCAAAGGTTTTGTATAAACATGAGTTGAAGCTGGAAAGGGCAATTGATGCATTTTACCCATACAACAAGCACAACAGGTAAAAGGAGTTTTATTATTTTGGAATGAAATATTACAATGATTCAATACACTTTTTACAGTGCTGAGTGAAGCATGACCTAAACGTGCATGCCATAAGGACAACTTGCTATCTATTTTGCAAGTGACAGAATCAACCACTGTGGAGTGGGATACATTTTTATTTTGAACAGAAACAGCAGTAAAAGCAGTATGAGTTGGGATTTTGACACCCTCAAATGCATAGAGACCATTCTTAAGTGTTCCTTGAAGAAGGATCTCCTTGCTTGCCTGAGATTTAACAACACAATGATTAGGATGAAATTCAAAAAATACATTGTGATCTTTAGCAAACTGCGAGACACTTAGAAGATTTTTTGAAAGACCAGGAACATGTAGAAGATTAGGTAAAGTAAAGGATAATGAGTTGGATGGTGAGTGTAAAATAGTGTGACCACTGTGCTTTATTTTCATACAAGATCCATTGCCTATTTGAACAGATTCTTGACCTTTATAATTTGTTTTGGATAAGAGATTACCAGCACTAGGAGTGAGATGATTGGTTGCGCCTGAGTTAGGGTACCAAGCTTGGTCAAATACAGAGAAGTAGTCAGTTGTATTTTCAGTTGGAGCATCTTGCTCAGCAGATCCAGTCATAGCAACATTAGCTTGAATCTGTGAGTTCTGAGGAGTAAACTTGTCATTCTTGACTTGCTCAGTGGGATTTGGATAGTCCTGGTTATACCTGTGATAGCAATTCCAGGCAATGTGACCTGGCTTGCCACATACTTGACAGTACAGTCCTGGTTATACCTGTTAAGTTAGTTTTCAATTCTGTTCAGTTTGTTTTGAGTCTGTAACTGAATTAGTTAGCCTAGTTTAGTTTCCTTTCTGATATACTATAAATAGACTTTTGTATAGTCTTTATAATTTAATATTCATTCTATCAATTTCTGTCACATTGAGAGATCTCACAGATATTTTCTCTCTCTCTTGAATCTTCCCTGTGCTTGAGATCCTGTGTCAAATACCTTTATGGTATCATCGCCATGGAACATCAATTTTACATAAACACTTTCATACTATTTTGCTTTCGATTTAAAATGTAGAAGAATAACCGGCTGCAATTCAGGTAATTCTTTAATCTTATTTTTTGCTTTTGCAATCTGATAGACAATAGCTTGTAATCTGAATTCTTTACTTTTGTAATTTGATTCTGAGTTGGTTGGAATTGGATCACCAGGACATTTTGTGTATTTTGTCTGGCAAAATTCGTGATGCAAAATGGAGCACTATTGGAGAGAGTGATGACACACCTTTTTTGTTGGAAATTAACAATCACAAAAATCGCAAACGAAAAGAGAAAGAGTGAGAATAGACACAATGATCTACTCTGGTTCACTCAATTTTGACTACGTCCAGCTTGTCACCTCACTGCCACTCGTTATAAGTCACTCAGTTTACATAGGATTAGAAAAATTCTAGTCATTGATTCAAGCCTAAACTACTAAGAAAAGGAAAATTTACAATAAGTTGTCTTTCTTATTACCTCTATAACAAGAGCCCTTATCAGCATGCGAAGTATGAGTCATATGCCTCTTTATTCTCTCTTGCACGTCTCTCTCTCTCTCTCAACCCACTCTCTCGCTTTCGTTCTTTCTATCTTGCTTTGGTGTGTATTGATCATTCTTGGGGTGTCGCTTCAGGTTCTTAAGACTTTGTGTTCCAGCATTTCTGTATGTATTCTGTTTTGTTAAACTGATATAACTTGATTTGACTTTACTGCTGGGTTAAATACTTAGTGATTTTCTCAAGATATTTGAATATCCGCTGCTTAAAGACTGTCGTAACCTACAGGAACTAATTAATGAACAATTCTATAGATAATAGTTCCTAATCTCATTTCTTCTTAATTTATCACTGAGATGACCGTAAATAAACTAGCCACGCATGAAAAGAAGGTGATACCAGTGCTCAAAGTCATCTTATTGATGTTTGTAACTGAAACTCTTATATATTATTGATTCTGTTTGTAATACTCCGTATATATCCGGTTTGTTATCATATCATCGTATTAATTCACGCTTAATATAAAAATGCGGAATATCTTTTTCTTTTCAATTATGACGTCATTATCATTAACCAAGTTGAATTAATTCATTCATTTCATAAAACATAGCCTGTATATAATTGCAAAAGACAGTTACTGAAATACCTCATAACATAGATGTGAGTATCTAAGTCACAGATCTACACCACGTAGTCCGAACAATATCCTGATACATTATTAATTACAGCTAAAAACAACTAAGCATAAAATCAAGTCAAAGTGGTATAGACAATCCCCATGCTCACCAAATAAGGCAACAAAGCCCCACAACAGTCTCAACAATAACATCATGAAGCTAAAAGCATAAAAAGCAACAGTCAATATCCAGCATCCAACATAAGCAGCATAACAATATATAATCAGCTAAGCTCCGGCCTCCTGCCACTAGAGGTCTCAACCCCCGCATCACCTGAACCTGAAATATGTGCCCCAAACGTGGGATGAGATCTCTAAAAAGAAATCTCAGTAAGACAAGAGGTCCTCAAGGATCTTCCACCCCAAGCTCACTTACACGAGCAATATAAGTTCAAAAGCATTTAACAGTATAAGTTCCAAAACTATGCAGTGCAACAGATATTCATGCCATGTGTGTTTTAACTATTCTACTGGCCAGAGAAATGCAGGACGTACGTCTACAACCCCACAATAAGTACAAGGAACACCGCTTGCACCTCACCCACAACCTCACCCTCTTGTATGTACCGCATACTCAGGCTTACCGTATAGGTGGAATACCACATGCATATCATAAAGGCACTCGCATATAACAGCTCAACAGCATTTCAACAAATCAATATATCATGAAAACAACATCACGCATATAACCATACCCCCATGGGACATGGTGGAACCAACAATGGCTAAACCGAGGACACGAAAGCTTACCTTGCAAGCTAACAATCCAAGCCAAGAGTCCAACCAATCTCAAAGCCCAAACACAGCAGAATCACAATATGTTTTGGACCAGCAATCATATCAAAAGCATACTCAACAAGTATAAGACACAAGGACAACGTCTTTCCTTTACATTTCATGTCTTAAGGCTTCTCACAAAGCCACAAGCCCTTAATCACTTGATTCTGACTTAGTTCAATTATTACAAAGGTTCAACTTAACCAATTTAGGGTCCACAAACCCCAAACATCATTCTGTATGAACAGTGCAACTACTGTTCTTCGGAAACTCAGAATATCCGGATATTTGTCGGGAGCATATCCGGATATCAATATCCGGATATCTCTTTGCCAATATCCGGATATTCAGATCCCCATATCCGAATATCATATTCGGATATTCATATCCGGATATTTCGCGACAGAATGCAGTTCTGCATTTCGCGAGATATCATTCTCAAAGGTGGTTCATTTCATGCATATAGAAGCTTAAACATTTAACTTTCACCATATAAAGTAAATTATACAAGATACATTTTGAATTGTAAGGTCTTTAGGGTGTGTTTGGTACAGGGTTTCTCAAAATTTTGATGGACATCTGAAAATGGGTAAGTTGATTCTCCACGTTTGGTAGAAGTGATCCAAAAATTTGCCTACCTAACTGATTTGCCTTGCAATTGAGTTTTGCACGCAAAGTTGGACCAAAACTAGCGCTGCAATCCTATTTCCACGGTGGTATTCGACCGATAACTGGGTAAATGAAAACTATGAAAATGGATGCTCCCAAAACTACCCTTGCTTAACCTACTAGCGCCAAAGTGAGTAACCTCCCACCAAATCCTCCCGCCAAAGGACATAACGGAGAAGCTCGTTTGAAGATCTACACAAAGGCTGACTAGATTGGGTTTCACAGCAACTTCTGTTTGGTTTTTGCATGCTTATCTCAAAGATTTACTAGCTTTTGATATTTTTATTTCAGAAAAATCATGGAGAAAAAGAAACCCATCTTCAGACTTGACTCTGACATTAAGTTGTTGGATTTTGTAGCAACATCAATCTGACAAGCGCGGGTAGTGGAACCAGAACACTGCCGTGAACAGAGGCAAGGCTGAACAGAGGCAAGCGCGGGTAGTGTTGTTGTCCATCGTTCGTGGTACACACCCTCATTGGGTAAGCATGATCCTTTTTTGTAGCTGTTGACTCCTTGTAAATCTTGAAGAAAAAGGCAAGGTTTGGTGGACTTCACATGAAATCTGTCATTGGTTTAATTTCTTTGTCTAAATTGTTCTCTGGGATAGTGTGGGGATATATGCAACATTTTATGCCAGGTTTCATTCACACGTTTTATTTAACCTCTTACATAAAGTGAGTCTGAGATCAATGATGGGTATCTTTGTTTATATTTTACTATTCTATTAAGATATAGGTTTAGCCCTTTTGCATGTAGAGATGCTATAATATTATGTATCCAAAATATATTCAGACCAATCTAGTCAGTCATTACCATAAGAGATGGTATCACACAGTCATTGTATCTCCCCTCACTGCTATTTTGATCATCACCTCAATAAAGAAGCAACTATTTATATATTCAGCCGTAAGTGACATTATGATTGATCGTAACTATTTCAAATGTCTTATCATTTTGGAAGCCTTTGTGTGATTCCGAGGCTTAAAGTGTAGTTCTGTTTATTGAAGTGGAATAAAATTTGATCCTCTGGACATGCATCTTTTGCTGGAATGATGTTCTGCTATCTTTTCTGTTTGTCTTCTTAATCAGCTGTACAGCCTGTACTTAAACAAGATGGCCTTTGATATCGAACATAGGCCAAAATAGGTATAATAATCAAGATTGCATGTATATTAATATTAACTACCTCTCATACATTTTCTAAGATCTCTTAGACCTGTCTAAAAGACTCCATCTCTTATGCAGTGGTCCTTCAAGATTTGATTGGGGTCAGGATACTGAAACTTGGATTTATAGGCGGAACAAAGCAAACTTGTATAAAATTTTAGAAGTTGAGTTGGAGCAGTTGTGTGATAAAATTATTGTAAACCGAGTCTCCTTTTCCATTTTTGTTTCTTCTTCCTTTTCCTTCTTTATTTTAATCAAACCGAGTCTCCTTGTAAATAAATCTAGCTATTTAGACTTTGTAAAAACTGGAACAAACTTGCCTATTAATTTCAAATTCTTTTAATCGCACACTGTCAAATTATTATTCTCAAATTTGTTAACTAGAAAACTTAATTAACTATATTAGTATGATTTTTATATACGGTTCAAATATTTCACCATATACTTAATTTATGTTGGAGGGTCTCGTGTTCAAATCTTTTAGATAGCTTGTGTTATTTATTGGGTTTATAAAAGCAACCCTATAACTATTCTTTGCAGAAATGGGTGTGATGCTATGAGTATTGAAGAAAAAAGGTTTGCTTCCTCTTAAGTGAGTGTGGGGTGTTTAAAGCTGACACTTATTTATTATCCAGTAAGCAGGGTGGGTTAAGTGTAGCAAATGTTGAGATTTTTTATTTTAATGGATTTGTGACATACATGGTTTGTTGATTTGGAAAAACAGGAACAACATCAAAGGGTGGTAGCTTATGGCATAATCTATGACTGCTATGTCAGCATGCAAAGTATAGTGTTAAAGAAGTGATTTTCTCATTGTTGCCCTGCATAAAAATTTGATATTGGAAAATATAGTGTTAAAGGAGTCAGACAAATCTTGAAAATGTGAATTTAATATTTTAGCATCATCACGGGTGAGGAGAATGTGCTTGATCATACTAAAGTAAGGCCCTACTTCTCTGTGGGGTCTAAGCTGTGATTATGCATGTTGACTGTGTTTTTGTTTGCTGGTTTAGTGCATGTGATTGTATTTAAGTTGTTTTTCGAATGACTTCCATTATATTCAATAATTTCAGGTACTAGCCGATTGATTTACCTTGTCGAATTGCAAAAGGTTGTAAATACTGCAAAAGGGATGATGCTTTATCTTGTCTTGTTCGATTTGGGCTTGATTGTTTTATCTACCAAACTTGGTATTGACCTTAATAATATGATACTAGTGTTTCAGCTTTTTTATTTGAATTGAATTCTATGTATTTGCTGTTTTCATCAGTTTATATGTACTAGGAGATTAGATGGCAGCCCTCCTTATCTTTGTTTCTTTCATACATTCCTTGTAATTATTTGAAACTTTCTTTTTTCTAAATTTGGAAATTTGCAAGAAATTGGTTGCTTAATAGAAAAAGAGCACGATTCTTCACTGTGATGTTTAAGCTATGTGCTGTTCCAAGTTGTTGACTATTGTGGATGCTTCCGTATTGTGGAATTATGGAGTGTCTTGGTTTGGAGGTAGATTAACTACTTTCCTTGTCAATCATGTCATATTAAATGTCATATTAACTAATAACTTCGACACCATTCTAAATGATGATGTTGTTGTCACTAATACAATATTCTGCATGTGGTGCAGGTGAGAAGACGTTCTTACCACGAGTTAGAGCCCGTTTGTTTACACTTCTGAAAAAAGTAACTTTTATCTCTTTCTTATTTTAGAAGTTCTTTTTACAAAAGTTAGAGCTATTTATATTTTTATAAAAATATTTAGTTTTTGAAAAAAATATTTGGCTTTTGACTTCTGCTTTTTTAGAAGTTAAAATTTTTAGCTTCTGGAAAAAGTAGGTTTTGACTTTTTGTGACTTCTACTTTTTTAAAAAACAGACATCCAAATGAACTAAAACTGAGAAGTGCTTTTTTTCAAAAAAAAAAACACTTTTGAAGAAAAAAAAGCTCTTACAAGCTTTTAGAAAACGATGGCAAAAAGCAGTTGAGGAGAATGAATGTTGGGTTCATCCATTTCAATAGCCACTTCAAGAATTCAGAGCTGATAGTTAAAGTTTTGTGTAGTTTTTTTGTAAAATACACTTAATTTTGTAAAATACAAGTTTGGTTACAAATTTTCATTACCAATTGCATCAAACGCAAGCAGTATAGATACAAATTCACAGACCAGTAATATGTGTTTATGGTTATCAACATAACAACATTTGTAAGATTTTTTTAATAGCATTATCTAACTTCAATTCAAACCAAAAACTGAGAAACCACGACAACCATATGTGTTAAATGTCGTAAGTACAATTGTTGAACTAAAAACAGAATGCTGGATATTATGGTGCATCCATAATCTACTGTGCAAGAATTCAACGTAATGACGAGGGCTTAGACGAATGATTAACCATCTGAAGATCATACAAATTAATCTCTCCCTTCCAAAATGTAAAAACAGGAATATTTTTGTAATTGTCACTTATTTCCTCATCTATATTTTACCTCAAACCAAACATAGACTTTATAAATCTTACGTAATTTGCCCGGTAAAATTTTTTCAAATCAAACAACTTTTTTTACATTTTCCTACCAAACTCACTTTCCAACCATTTCCCTGTTAATTACATTTCCTTAGTATTCAAAAAATTTCTCCGTAATCAAACGTTCCATTAGTTAAAATATTCAGCTCCATGTGCAAAAGCATAGTGACTTAGCTTTAGGCTTCCGCATATCATTTCCTGTAAGAGTGCTAGGTTTGTAGAAGCTGAGTGAGAAATAAAACTATAAAAAATGCATCATATGGATGCTATACTGCTCTCATAAATTCTTTTTATCTTTGCAAGTGCTCTCATAAGTCATAAATTCTTTGGTTCGATGTGTAAATAAGCAAAAATTCTTTTTATAAAAAGACTTTTGGACGACGTGTGATTTTCCTAGTTATTTTACAAAATGTTTTCCCTTAAGTAATAATTTAATTTCCCACAATGCCCAGTTGAGTTGAGGATATAAAATTTGTTCACATTTACTTTTAATTTTTATATGATTGTTTTTAATTTGTTTTATATTGTAAAAGACATATCCCGCCTGCACTTGTATTAAAATCTAATGTTTGGGTATGGATGAATCTTTGACGTTTGGATTTACTTTAAATTTTTTACTCTTTTTTTTTTTCAGTGAACTGAAAGGTATCCCTACCTCGAAGGATGAGACTAATTCCTTCCGTGACTAGTAGTATTTAGGATTTGTCATTGGCCCCAAAATACTTCTCCTAAGCGTCGAACACATGACCTCATCGGCCACAAGAATACGACCCCTCGAGCTGCAGTTCACTTACCAAGTGACCAAGTGAGCTACACTTGCTTATTAAATTTTCTACTTGGTTGGTTCTAAAGTTTTACTTATTATGTAGAGATCATTATAATACATGAACTAAGGTTTAAATTAAAGACATGGAAAATCTTTTATTTGGATCAAAGCAAAGAGATACTTGTAAGGGCTGTGATTATTTACACATGTTCTCGTTCTCTCCCGATGCACGCGGATTGCGCTTTTGGAGGTCTTTTATTATTTTGAGTTTTTTCTTTTCTTTTCTATTATGTTTTAGGGTTTGGTGTTTGTCATTTTAAATGACATAAGTTATGTTATTTTAGAAGAGAGATAGACAAAAAAAGTAGAAATCATGGGAGAGAGAAAGTGAGTGATTTTTTTAATTTAAATTTTAAATAAAAAAATTATTTTATGTCTATCAATGACGTAACTCTATATTATTTAAAATGACAAACACATATTTTAATGGATTTTTGGTTCCTTTTAATAGTTTTGGTCAATGAATAGGAGACTCAAGGTTATTGCTGTTAGTACTTAGTAGAATATAAATGGACCTAGTGTCTCTTGTTTTTTTCCTCTTATTTCTTTTTTCTTATGGATAGTGTGATTGATATTTACAACAAAGAAAACAAATTTTTTATTGAAATCTTAGGGTTTGATGTTTTTTATACTATAGAAAATAAAATTATTTTCAACACACGTATAAAAGTGTGTGGGGCCATGTGAAAAGAATAGAAAGAGAAAAAAAATATGGTTTCACACACTTTTACATGTGTGAAAGACGAGCACATCTTTGGTACTAATGTAGTATGTACTCCTTTATTAAAAGTAGAAAAAAGTGATGGTTTAGGGAAAATAACCATACAAAAAAAGGGTAAAAAGATAAAAAAATATATATTATTTTTTTCAAATTAAATAAATGATGCACTGAGTTTTCAGTACTCCCGCATTACTGAGGATATTTCCATAAAATACAATTCTATCTCCTTTAATGAGAGACATTAAATCCGAAATCTTATACTAGTTTAAAAAATTTAAAAATAAAAATAAATAGAAAAAACATTAAATCTAATATTTATGAGAAGATGGACCGTTTGAATTATTTGCAATAGTTATCATTAGCAACTCGAATGGGAACCAAAAGTCACCATGAGAAGATGGGCCGTTTGAAAGTATTTACGAGTATCTAAAAAGGATGGGTGTGAATCTTTTCAATGCTTATATTATCCAATGATAGTTGCTGCTAAAAGCAGCAAGAGGCTTTGTTGTCTACCACTTAGCGAAAAATAAAAATCTTAAAAGTAGAGTTTACATAAATACATATCATATTCAGGGTTGCACGTGACAAGCTTCTGTCCGGTTCACCATTATTTTCAGTTAAAATCCATCGAAAATTATGACTAACGTTTTCAACAAATTTTACGGAAATACTCCGACGAAATTTGTAATCGAAATTTTCGGTTGAAATTCAAAGTTGTTTCGTCAAGATTTTCGATATATTAGATAAGAGATAGACAAAGGACTACAAAGAATGATAAAAGAGATACAAGTGTTTTTTTATACGAAATTAAACCTTCTCTTATCTTCATGATACAAACGCGATATATTATTAAAAATTGTTTTATCTACATTAAATTTTTGAGAATTATTATTCTTATGCTGTAGGAGATAAGGTATCTTATGTGATAGACTTAACATGTGTGGGTTCCATTAATTTTTTAAAAGAAAAAAAAAGACAAACACGGATATCGAAAGGTCGGTAGAAGAAACTCTATATCTTATGTTACATGAGACTAACTTAACCCTAAACTTTTAATCCAACCCACCGCACGGAGTAAGTTAATATTGGTTGGGTTAGGATTACCTTTTCACCTGATCAATTTTTTTATTTTTGGGGAGTTCATAAGCATTAGAATCAATCTGACATTTTTTTTTTTGGTAAATAAAAACAACCTAACATCTTAATACAATATATAATTGAATTCATGTTTATATTATTCAATTAATAATATAAACAATCACATGGGCTTTGTTACTTTCTTGGAGCTGGCCAAACAATTTAATCTACAAATAGTATAAAATGGAATTTAAATTAATTCTAAATAGTAGTATATAAAATTAATTTAATTTTTGATAAATAAAATTGAAGGTAACTGTTAACTCTATGTGAATTTTGTTTATTAGACATTTAAAAATAATGTAAATTTATTTCATTTATTATTATTATTATTATTATTATCACCATTTTTCATTTTATCTTATTATAATGATAATCATAATTTCATTATATAGATATTATCTTTTCTTTTCTATACATTTGTGAGAGTCGAAAACAATCTAATATAAACTAACCAAGCCCCTGGTCATCGGATTAAACCTAATGACTTATACAAATATTATTTTTAATTTCAAATTTGATGAACAACATTGTTATCAAATCGGGAAGACATCTTTTAACTCGAGGATAAAACTTAAAAATTTTATTTCTCATCTCAGTCATTAATTTTAATCCATAAAATTGTTTATTATTTATTTGAAATTGTTAGATAGACAAAAATTAATAGTTAAAATGAAGAATAAGACTTTTTAATTTTACACGGCATTCAAAAAAATCCCTCCCCTGTTAAATTAGGATTTCAATTTTACCATCCTACCATCATCTTTATTCTTATTAAATTAGTTTAGCAAAAAGGATAATAGGTTAAAACGGAAGCAAGTCTAAATAATTAATTAGACCACAACTTCAATTAATAGATAAGTTATTTAAAAAGTATATTCAAATAATAAACTCAAATATCACTAACTTTCAGCTAAGATGGTAACAGAAACAAAACAGAAAAGAACAATAAGTAGTATAAGGATCAAGAATCAGAAAAAGCGATAATTGTTGTTAGAGAGCATCCCACTTGGCTTGTATTCAAATCAATTCTGTTATAACAGATTAAGGAATAATCTGATAATATTCTTTGGTGAAACCAATAAGTAGAA